AAAAAAATAAAATTAATCATAAAGTAATAAAAGAATATAAAAAGGATTTAATAGAAATTAATATTTGTTATAGTATAAAATGAAGGACAAAAGAGAATTAAGAAAAACTCTATATATTATACCAAAGAAACATTGTTGCAAGGAATTTGGTGCAACATTTTTCTTAACACCAATTTGGTATCAAGATCTAAGGTTGGGTTGAGGCCAATTTTTATACAAAAATGTCGTTCTATGCTAAATTGGTGTTGGGTAGGAACTGCTCTTAATTGGATCGAAATAAAATAGACACGAAACCAATTTACTCATTGAATCTTAATGAATATCGGTAAGGATCAATAATTCAGATTGGACTTACCGGATATTTTAGACATATTAATTAAAACTTCAATAAAATAATCAAATTATTTTTGTCGTCTTCTATGCGTCAATTGGTGGTACAATATTTCAAAATTGGTGTTCCAAGCGAGTTTGTTAGGATTAATAAAAGATCATGGGTCAAAGTTGATGGATTATTTGCTTTTATTTATTTCTATGGGTCTCGACTTTCTTGTGCCTTTTTGAATTTTTTGCACTCAGTTCAGATTCTACCTACCGAATATTTTGGACATAATAATTAAAACTTCAATAAAATAATCAAATTATTTTTATTTGTCTCGGCTTTATAGGACTTGGAATCTTGCTGAATTCAAAAATATTCATTAATCTTTGTTTACTTAATCATTAAAGTAAAGAAAAAGTAAAGAAAGACTTTCATGATTTCTTTACCTAAGGACGTATACAAATTACGAAGTANTAATTAAAACTTCAATAAAATAATCAAATTATTTTTATTTGTCTCGGCTTTATAGGACTTGGAATCTTGCTGAATTCAAAAATATTTCATTAATCTTTGTTTACTTAATCATTAAAGAAAGACTTTCATGATTATTTTACCTAAATAATAAAGATGCTACGAAGGACGTATAAAAAGTAAGATATACAATTATTAATAAAATAACCTCAAAATTATGCCATATGAGTACTATATTTATGTGTACTGATTGTCATTCCATTCTCATCTCCCACTGCTTGTATTGCAACTTAGTGTGTAAAATTATATGTATTGTAGGTAACGCAAGAATACTGTTGGTAAAAAAAATATATAAAGAAATGCGAAACGAGTTTACTTCGTCCGCCCCAGTCTATGTCTCAAATGAGCCTAGAGTCCAAGACCTTCTACTTTAAATAGCAAAGCAAGTTGGCCTTGAAAAGGAAAAGGTGAATGAAAATTTGAAGGTCAACTTGCTTTCTCTGCTCAATGAAAAAATGTGCTTAATTTTTCTTGATGATAC